TCCGTCTCCAACATCAGTTGGAATTTCCATACCCATATTCTTCATTATTTTTTCGACTCTATCCAGCCTTTGTTGATGTGTGAGAATGGGCCGTTCATTCTCTGGGACATATTTTTTAGGGAGATGGCAGATGTCGTCATATAGTGTGTTGTCAAATATATCATCATCTGACTGTTTGGACTCAGAGTATGACGATAATTCATCGGACTCTTCAACAGAACTGTCTGAATCATCAGGATCTACAGTCGACTGAGCTACATCATGATTGGATTCAGTTGATTGTTGTTCTGTTCCAGTTGAAGCGCAAATACCAGTGTGTTGCTGCATTTGTGTTGAACATTCTTTTACAGGTTCTGATTCGCTGGCAGACGGACGATCAATGACTATCGCACTGACTGTCACTGACAACAGCGACAACACAATAGTCGATATGAATTTCATCCTGTTGACGAGAATAAATGTGATAAAGCTTGTCAACTAGTAGGACAATTCTTGGTAATGAATGGGTCAGTTGTGGATATGGACCATGCTTTTATAGCGATTAAATATATAATCAAGACATACGGGTTATATGAGCTTATGCAGCAACAACTCGACCGCCATTTAGGTATATGTAACATATATACTCATGTGTAGGCTGTTTTATGCACAACTCTTCAGCCATTGAATGAAACAGGACTCATAGTCAAGGACTGCTAACCCTGACCCATATACTAAAGAATATGTCAAGATCGATTGGCATAGTCAGTCAGTTTCAGGTTACGGTCAGTATAGGGTAACAGTTTATCCACACAACAGCTGGCCAAATATTAGTGGTAAAATCCTTTAAACGACTCTGCCTCAACACTTGATCTAGTGATATGACACTGTTGCAGTCCTGTTCAATGCAGTATAGATTGATAGTCATATCAGCAGTATCAATACTTTATGCCAACTGTAATACTTTCAATACGCAAACTCAAAGTATTGCCAATGATTAGAAAAGCTTCAACAGAACTCTTGAACTGTCAATTGTCATGCTATCAATAGTATGAACATCCGACTCAATACTGTACATGACTGATTGTCAAGAGTCTTGCAGCATTTACTTGGCAAACTGGATTCCTGTTTCGATTATACAAACATGGCATCAAACACATGTCTACTTTGGAACAAGACGTTGAGTCGAATGTCCAGCAATATACAAAAATATACAAAAACAGCACGAATTGAATGTCAAAACTCGATTACTAACAATTTCAAATCTACACAAACGAATACGACAACTTGCAGTCTAGTCATGTAAACGGAATACTAACAGTGTTGGTGTGTAATAAACAGCCAGTGTCATGTCATGGTTGACAATACAGTGGTGTTGTTGGTGGTGATTGGCATGCATGGTTGCATTACTGACATGTATCATCATTGTTGTTGAACTAGATTGCGATCGTATCCGAGATTCAGAATACAACACATGTGTACATAGTTGTATTGACAACATTGACAGTCAAACACAATACATGAATGTGGGTTCAA